AGTACGTACGGCATCCCGAGATACTGACTGACAGCGCCTGCTGGGCTGGTCGACACGTGGGACCCCCTTGTGGCACGGTCCGCCTTTCCTTCTCTACATAGCCGCCTGCTTACATACCACTTACTGTACTCTTGTATTCGGCTATGGATATAAAAGTCTGGTGAAACCCAGATTTGAATAACAATATTGCTTACATACCCCTTACTGTACTATTGTAGTCGGCTATGGGTATAAAAGTCTGGTGAAACCCAGATTTGAATAACAATATTGCTTACATACCCCTTACTGTACTCTTGTATTCGGCTATGGGTATAAAAGTCTGGTGAAACCCAGACTTGAATAACAAAATTGCTTACATACCACTTACTGTACTCTTGTATTCGGCTATGGATATAAAAGTCTGGTGAAACCCAGATTTGAATAAGAAAATTGCTTACAAACCACTTACTGTACTCTTGTATTCGGCTATAGATATAAAAGTCTGGTGAGACCCAGATTTGAATAACAAAATTGCTTACAAATCACTTACTGTACTCTTGTATTAGGCTATAGATATAAAAGTCTGGTGAAACCCAGATTTGAAAAACAAAATTGCTTACATACCACTTACTGTACTCTTGTATTCGGCTATGGATATAAAAAGTCTGGTGAAACTCAGACTTGAATAAGAAAATTGCTTACATACCACTTACTGTACTCTTGTATTCAGCTATGGATATAAAAGTCTGGTGAAACCCAGACTTGAATAACAAAATTGCTTACATACCACTTACTGTACTCTTGTATTCGGCTATGAATATAAAAGTCTGGTGAAACCCAGATTTGAATAAGAAAATTGCTTACATACCACTTACTCTACTCTTGTATTCAGCTATGGATATAAAAGTCTGGTGAAACCCAGACTTGAATAACAAAATTGCTTACATACCACTTACTGTACTCTTGTATTCAGCTATGGATATAAAAGTCTGGTGAAACCCAGACTTGAATAACAAAATTGCTTACATACCACTTACTGTACTCTTGTATTCGGCTATGAATATAAAAGTCTGGTGAAACCCAGATTTGAATAAGAAAATTGCTTACATACCACTTACTCTACTCTTGTATTCAGCTATGGATATAAAAGTCTGGTGAAACCCAGACTTGAATAACAAAATTGCTTACATACCACTTACTGTACTCTTGTATTCGGCTATGGATATAAAAGTCTGGTGAAACCCAGACTTGAATAAGAAAATTGCTTACATACCACTTACTGTACTCTTGTATTCGGCTATGGATATAAAAGTCTGGTGAAACCCACACTTGAATAACAAAATTGCTTACATACCACTTACTGTACTCTTGTATTCGGCTATGGATATAAAAGTCTGGTGAAACCCAGACTTGAATAACAAAATTGCTTACATACCTCTTACTGTACTCTTGTATTCGGCTATGAATATAAAAGTCTGGTGAAACTCAGACTTGAATAAGAAAATTGCTTACATACCACTTACTGTACTCTTGTATTCGGCTATGGATATAAAAGTCTGGTGAAACTCAGACTTGAATAAGAAAATTGCTTACATACCACTTACTGTACTCTTGTATTCAGCTATGGATATAAAAGTCTGGTGAAACCCAGACTTGAATAACAAAATTGCTTACATACCACTTACTGTACTCTTGTATTCGGCTATGAATATAAAAGTCTGGTGAAACCCAGATTTGAATAAGAAAATTGCTTACATACCACTTACTCTACTCTTGTATTCAGCTATGGATATAAAAGTCTGGTGAAACCCAGACTTGAATAACAAAATTGCTTACATACCACTTACTGTACTCTTGTATTCAGCTATGGATATAAAAGTCTGGTGAAACCCAGACTTGAATAACAAAATTGCTTACATACCACTTACTGTACTCTTGTATTCGGCTATGAATATAAAAGTCTGGTGAAACCCAGATTTGAATAAGAAAATTGCTTACATACCACTTACTCTACTCTTGTATTCAGCTATGGATATAAAAGTCTGGTGAAACCCAGACTTGAATAACAAAATTGCTTACATACCACTTACTGTACTCTTGTATTCGGCTATGGATATAAAAGTCTGGTGAAACCCAGACTTGAATAAGAAAATTGCTTACATACCACTTACTGTACTCTTGTATTCGGCTATGGATATAAAAGTCTGGTGAAACCCAGACTTGAATAACAAAATTGCTTACATACCACTTACTGTACTCTTGTATTCGGCTATGGATATAAAAGTCTGGTGAAACCCAGACTTGAATAACAAAAATTGCTTACATACCACTTACTGTACTCTTGTATTCGGCTATGGATATAAAAGTCTGGTGAAACCCAGATTTGAATAAGAAAATTGCTTACATACCACTTACTGTACTCTTGTATTCGGCTATGGATATAAAAGTCTGGTGAAACCCAGATTTGAATAAGAAAATTGCTTACATACCACTTACTCTACTCTTGTATTCAGCTATGGATATAAAAGTCTGGTGAAACCCAGACTTGAATAACAAAATTGCTTACATACCACTTACTGTACTCTTGTATTCGGCTATGGATATAAAAGTCTGGTGAAACCCAGACTTGAATAACAAAATTGCTTACATACCACTTACTGTACTCTTGTATTCGGCTATGGATATAAAAGTCTGGTGAAACCAGACTTGAATAACAAAATTGCTTACATACCACTTACTGTACTCTTGTATTCGGCTATGAATATAAAAGTCTGGTGAAACCCAGACTTGAATAAGAAAATTGCTTACATACCACTTACTCTACTCTTGTATTCAGCTATGGATATAAAAGTCTGGTGAAACCCAGATTTGAATAATAAAATTGCTTACATGCCCCTTACTGTACTCTTGTATTCAGCTATAGATATAAAAGTCTGGTGAAACCCAGATTTCAATAATAAAATTGCTTACATACCACTTACTGTACTCTTGTATTCGGCTATGGATATAAAAGTCTGGTGAAACTCAGACTTGAATAAAAAAATTGCTTACATACCCCTTACTGTACTCTTGTATTCAGCTATAGATATAAAAGTCTGGTGAAACCCAGATTTCAATAATAAAATTGCTAATAGTCTTAAATACCAAATATCACAGGTTCACAAGTTACCTACGGATGATACTCTGCCTACATTGATAAAATTTTTTTTTACAATTTAAACAATTTATTGATTCTTCTAATCAATTTTTACGAAGGTGAAAAAATATATAATAATATAGGGAATGTAGGGGAATATATATATATATAGTTGTGAAAAAATAGTACAAATGTAATATTGTACTGGGATAAGGTGCATAGATTAAGAAAAAGGCATCTCCTTATTGTGCAACTGAAAGTTACTGATGGCTGGCGACATCTATCGGAATAAATATCAACTATTCTCGTTGATTTTAATTATTCCAGAATTGGCCAAATACCCATTCTTGATTAATCAAGAAAAGCTAACCACGGACGCGTTTCGGGCTGTTGGCCCTCATCAGCGTGGTGCAAGCTGTACCTCAACGACCAAAAAAATTGGTCATTAAGGCATCCTGAAAAATCATGAAACGGGTAGTTAAGGCCAGAATTGCGTGAGGACGCTACACAATGTGAAAAAATAGTACAAATGTGATATTGTACTGGGATAAGGTGCATAGATTAAGAAATCCTCACGCAGTCCTCACGCAATTCTGGCCTTAACTACCCGTTTCATGATTTTTCAGGATGCCTTAATGACCAATTTTTTTTTTTGGTCGTTGAGGTACAGCTTGCACCACGCTGATAAGGGCCAACAGCCCGAAACGCGTCCGTGGTTAGCTTCTCTTGATTAATCAAGAATGGGTATTTGGCCAATTCTGGAATAATTAAAAATCAACGAGAATAGTTGATATTTATTCCGATAGATGTCGCCAGCCATCAGCAACTTTCGGTTGCACGATAAGGAGATGCCTTTTTCTTAATATATAGTTGTGTATATGTACAAATTCCTTCAGCAAGGAAGACTTCCCCACCTTGAGAGAGTTCTCCTCCAGACAAGGTTGAACTTTCCTCAGTTACACACCGAGGAAGTACTTATATATGTGTGTCTTGGTAGAAGTCAGGATGGCCAGGGTGATATCGTCTAAGCCATGTCCGAAGACCCAGCTCTGCAGGTCAGGGGTGATGATGGTAAATGCCACCCTCTACCTACATTGAAGTCTGAAAGACAGTTCATTCTACTTTCATACTCCATATTTATACAAGAGATTATTTTATTGAATCTGTATATTATATGGAAAAAATAACAAAACTGAAAGTATACTATGATCAGGTGAATAAACTAAGAAAAAAAAGCATCTTATATTATAAGTATTATATTTATTCTGTATATTTAACCTTATTTATACAATATAATATATTGCGGCTTGTGATTGTAAAACGACATTTGAAAATTATCCCGCATGTGTTTCTTTCAACGAAAATTCAAAATTTTTCTAAGGAGATATAACGATTATTTCTAACCTTATTACTCTTCACAATTCATCCTTTCATATTTCATCCATAAGGTTAGAAATAATCGTTATTTCTCCTTAGAATAAAATTTGATTTTTCGTTGAAAAGAAACACATGCGGGATAATTTTCAAATGTCGTTCTACAAACATAAGCCGTATTATATTGTATTATAAAATACAATCTATATATAATAAATGAAATCATTAATCACGATTTTTTTTTTCCTTTTCGAAAAAATCTACTCTGTATACTATTGAGTAAAAATACAGACCTTCAGAGAAAAGTATTCTTTCAAAAACCTTTTGAATCTCTGAATTCGTGGGCACGAACGCCCTTCTACGGGAGAAAACATCTTAAAGATAGAAGCTCTACCTGACGGGCATTCATAGTTCTTCAAATTAAAGACACTTGGGCAAGTGAATCTTTTTTTATTGTCTCGACGTTTCGACAAAAATCTTTTGTCCTCGTCAGGAGCGAGCAAAAATTTTTGTCGAAACGTAGAGACAATAAAAAAGATTTACTGGTCGAAGTGTCTTTAATTTGAAGAAGGAGAAAACATGATATATTCACCTGCACCTTACAACCCTGAACACTCGGATTTTCCTGGAAAATATCTTAAAGATTTCTTGAAATAGCCATGGCCCACCTGTGCTGTATGAGCAGAAGAGCTTAAATTGACTTGTTCCATACCTGTTTCTTTCCTCTTTTCGCTCTCCACTTCTCCCATCCATATTTCCAATTTTTTTTTCTCATTTTTATTCTTTCTTATAATCTGTATATATTTACCATATGTATATAATCTTTCTCCATTTTTTATTTCCCACTTTCATAGGTTTCTCCGTCTTGTAACCCCAAGGAGAATCCTCTGTAAGACCTGTGTGTCTTAATAAAGGCTTTTGTGTGTGTGTGTGAGTGTGTGATATTCACCTGTAGAAGGGCGTTCTTGGTCGAAAGCTAGAGATTGAAATATACTTTACTGACTTCCAGTTAACATAAAAACAAAGTTACAACAAGCTTACAGCTATCAGCTTTATAATCAAATATATACATGACATCAAATTCGAGGTCTTCCCCGAGGGACGTCTAGATTACATCAAGGGCTAAAAGCCGCCTTGAGTCAGGCCCTGAGAGTTCGAAAGCTAGAGATTAAAAAGGTTTTTGAAAATATACTTTTATCTGGAGGCCTGGTATTTCTACTCAATAATAATACAAGGAATTATTTTATTGAATTTATATATTATATGAAAAATAGTACGAAACTGAAAGTGTACTATGATCAGATAGATAAATTATGAAAAAAAGGCATCTCCTGATTGTGCAAGTAAAATGTTACTGATGGTTTGCGTCATCTATCGGAACTGGATACTGGAGACCCGATGGTGATTCTCCACCAAACTCTGCAGCGCTGGCAGAGGCGCCATATTCATTGTATATAGTGGTATATGCATATTATCTATTTTTTAAATAGTACAGACTGTGCACTTTGCATGTATTGACAAGATGTCAATAAAATTATTTTAATTGTCTAAAAAAATATATAAAATAATTGTCTATCGGAATGAATATAGAATATTCGTTAATTTTTCTGTTATTCCTAAAATTGGTTAAATACCCATTCTTGTATATACCCATAGGTATACCAAAGAATAAGTATTTGACCAATTCTGGAATAATTAAAAATCAACGAATAGTTATTTTATTCCGACAGATGGTGCAAGTTATCAGCAACTTATAGTTGCAAGAGCAGGAGATGCCTTTTTCTTAATTACAGTTACGTGAACAATTGTTGGAAGCACAGTTCCGCCGTCTTCTATGGCAGAGAATGAGATTTGTTCAACGGACGGCTTCGGTCTGAGCACAGTTCCGCCGTCTCCTATGGCAAAGAATGAGACTTGTTCGATTGACGGCTTCGGTGTGAGCACAGTTCCGCCGTCTTCAATGGCAGAGAATGAGACTTGTTCAACGGACGGCTTCGGTGTGAGCACAGTTCCGCCGTCTACTATGGCAGAGAATGAGACTTGTTCAACGGACGGCTTCGGTGTGAGCACAGTTCCGCCGTCTACTATGGCAGAGAATGAGACTTGTTCAATGGACGGCTTCGGTCTGAGCACAGTTCCGCCGTCTCCTATGGCAAAGAATGAGACTTGTTCGATTGACGGCTTCGGTGTGAGCACAGTTCCGCCGTCTTCTATGGCAGAGAATGAGACTTGTTCAACGGACGGCTTCGGTGTGAGCACAGTTCCGCCGTCTACTATGGCAGAGAATGAGACTTGTTCAACGGACGGCTTCGGTGTGAGCACAGTTCCGCCGTCTTCTATGGCAGAGAATGAGACTTGTTCAACGGACGGCTTTGATGTGAGCACAGTTCCGCCGTCTTCTATGGCAGAGAATGAGACTTGTTCAATGGACGGCTTCGGTGTGAGCACAGTTCCGCCGTCTTCTATGGCAGAGAATGAGACTTGTTCAATGGACGGCTTCGGTCTGAGCACAGTTCCGCCGTCTCCTATGGCAAAGAATGAGACTTGTTCGATTGACGGCTTCGGTGTGAGCACAGTTCCGCCGTCTACTATGGCAGAGAATGAGACTTGTTCAACGGACGGCTTCGGTGTGAGCACAGTTCCGCCGTCTTCTATGGCAGAGAATGAGACTTGTTCAACGGACGGCTTTGATGTGAGCACAGTTCCGCCGTCTTCTATGGCAGAGAATGAGACTTGTTCAATGGACGGCTTCGGTGTGAGCACTATTCCGCCGTCTACTATTGCAGAGAATGAGACTTGTTCAACGGACGGCTTCGCTGTGAGCACAGTCCCGCTATCTTCTATGGCAGAGAATGAGACTTATTCAAAGGACGGCTTCGGTGTGAGCACAGTTCCGCCGTCTACTATGGCAGAGAATGAGACATGTTCAATGGACGGCTTCGATGTGAGCACAGTTCCGCCGTCTTCTATGGCAGAGAATGAGACATGTTCAATGGACGGCTTCGGTGTGAGCACAGTTCCGCCGTCTTCGATGGCAGAGAATGAGACTTGTTCAACGGACGGCTTCGGTGTGAGCACAGTTCCGCCGTCTTCTATGGCAGAGAATGAGACTTGTTCAATGGACGGCTTCGGTGTGAGCACAGTTCCGCCGTCTACTATGGCAGAGAATGAGACTTGTTCAATGGACGGCTTCGGTGTGAGCACAGTTCCGCCGTCTTCTATGGCAGAGAATGAGACTTGTTCAATGGTCGGCTTCGGTGTGAGCACAGTTCCGCCGTCTACTATGGCAGAGAATGAGACATGTTCAATGGACGGCTTCGGTGTGAGCACAGTTCCGCCGTCTACTATGGCAGAGAATGAGACTTGTTCAATGGACGGCTTCGGTGTGAGCACAGTTCCGCCGTCTTCTATGGTAGAGAATGAGACTTGTTCAATGCACGGCTTCGGTGTGAGCACAGTTCCGCCGTCTTCTATGGTAGAGAATGAGATTTGTTCAACGGACGGCTTCGGTGTGAGCACAGTTCCGCCGTCTTCTATGGCAGAGAATGAGACTTGTTCAAAGCACGGCTTCGGTGTGAGCACAGTTCCGCCGTCTTCTATGGCAGAGAATGAGATTTGTTCAACGGACGGCTTCGGTGTGAGCACAGTTCCGCCGTCTTCTATGGCAGAGAATGAGATTTGTTCAACGGACGGCTTCGGTGTGAGCACAGTTCCGCCGTCTTCTATGGCAGAGAATGAGATTTGTTCAACGGACGGCTTCGGTGTGAGCACAGTTCCGCCGTCTTCTATGGCAGAGAATGAGATTTGTTCAACGGACGGCTTAGGTGTGAGCACAGTTCCGCCGTCTTCTATGGCAGAGAATGAGACTTTTTCAACAGACGGCTTCGGCGTGAATCGTTTTAAAAGGCAAAAGCAGAATCAACAAATCTGTGACCTCATATCCTAGCAGCTAAAACCATTGTTGATTGTTTTGAAAAATTCTCATTTTAAAATAAATTCCTTTTAACCACATCCATTCTATTACACACTCTGTATAATTCTAAAATACCTTGGTTGCATGTGCAATCATCAACTCATGAAGAGGATAATATAAGCCAAATTTCAGAAAATGCGACAACTTTTCCCATTAAATATCTTAAACCGATTATTATGAAGCAAGGAATTTGTTGTATATAGTTATAATCTGTGCTACTAAAAGATCTGGCAACACAGTATGTATGTAAACAACGCCGCATAATAAATATATAATTGTTCTAGCACGGCGGTATATTAATTGTCTATATACATAAAGGCTGTAACTATATTAAATATATATAAAGCTAAAGGTAAATGAACCCGTATAAAAGATACAACATGGTGGCAGCGCCGGGATTTTGAAAGATAAGTAAAATTTCAAATATCAATTAAGCCTAACACGTTGAAAAATGGCCTCGAGTACCGGGAATAGTTTGCAGCCATTTGTGCCTGGAACAAACCCATCAGAAGCATGGGGTAAATGGAAAAAGAGATTCCAAATGTTTTACATAGCCACAGAAATAGATAAAAAATCTATTCCAAGACAAAGGGCTATTCTACTCTATAATATTGGTGAGTTAGCCCTAGATATATACTCTACATTTAAAATACAAGAAACTGATGCCTCTCCGACTGTTCCGGATATACTTGAACTGTTTGATGGACACTTTAAACCATATAAAAACACAACCTATAAGAGGTACCAGTTTTTTACAACGGAACAAGGGGAGAATCAGAATTTTGATGACTATGTAACTGAATTGAAAAATAAAAGCATGGACTGCGAATTTGGAGAGCTTGCAGATTCCTTGGTCAGAGATAGAATTATAATTGGAATTAAAGACAAAGCTTTAAAAGAAAGGATGCTACAAGATCCTGATCTTTCTTTAGCTAAAGCCATAGACTTGGGAAGAGCTACTGAAACTTCTAGACAACAAGTAAAAAATATAACTAGAGAAGATGTTGATTTACATTCTATAAAATATAAAAAGCAATATAAAAAGAATTTCAAATATCCAGTTGGTAGAAAACCTAATGTATCTGAGGAACATCCTAATGCAAAGGTTTGCCAAAATTGTGGTTCCAGACATCCATATGGTAAATGTTTTGCATATGGTAAAATATGCAATTCATGTAAAAAACCAAACCATTTTGCTAAAATGTGTAGGAACAGAGTGCATATGTTGGAGGAAAGAGCGGAAGAGGAAGAAGAAATGTGTCTTCAATACCTATCCCTAGATAGCATTACTGGTCTAGAGTGGACTAAAATAATCTTGGTGGAGAATAATTCAGTTAATTTTAAATTAGACACAGGAGCACAGGTGAACATCCTGCCATTGGATACCATTAAAAATTGGCAAAATAAACCCTGCATATATCCAACTGGGATTGCGGTTTATTCATATACAGGAGAAAAAGTACCAATAAGGGGCAAATGCAAGGCTTCATGTACCTCTGGGAAAAAATCTGAAATCCTTGAATTTCTAGTCGTGGATTTGCCAGCTCCACCAATTTTGGGATTGGCAGCGTGTAAAAAATTAGAGCTGATATTAAAAGTAGAGTCGTTGGAACAGGACCATACTAGGACAAAGATGGATGCTTCACCTACAAAGATAATAGAGTCCTACAGAGATGTCTTTGATGAGATCGGAACACTCCCTGGAGAGCATTCTGTGATCCTGAGAGAAAATGCACATCCAAGAATTCAGTTAGCTCGCCGAATTCCGTTTGCACTGAAAAAAACCAGTTGAGATGGAGCTAAAATCGATGGAGGAACAAAAGATCATCTCAAAGGTAGACCAACCAGCAGAGTGGGCACACCCGATGGTAATCATTAAGAAACCAAATGGAAAGGTTCGTATCTGTATGGACCCTAGAGAGCTAAATCCATGGATTAAAATGGAATATCGTCAACTTCCTGCCCCTGAAGGCATCATTGCTGATATCACAAAATCACCCATCTATACAGTACTTGATGCTAAGTCAGCCTTTTGGCAAATCAAGTTAGACGAAAAGTCATCTAGCCTTTTAACAATGGCTACACCTTATGGGTATTACAGATTCCATCGGTTACCCTTTGGTATTTGCAGCGCTCCAGAAGTTTTCTATAAAAAAATGCAAAGTATGTTTACAGGAATTGAAGGAGTAAAAGTATACATGGATGATATAATAATATACGGAAACTCCCTCACGGAGCACAATAGTAGACTGATTACGGTTTTGGAAATTGCTAGAAAAAATAATTTAAAGTTTGAATTCAATAAAATGCAACTGGCCCAAGAAAAAGTTAAGTTCATTGGACATGAGATATCCAAGAATGGCATCTCTGCAGATCCATCTAAATTAGAAGCAATACAAAAAATAAAAAGACCAATGGACAAGACATCTCTTCAAAGATTTTTGGGAACTGTGAACTATCTAGCTAAATTCATGCATAATCTGGCAGATAAAACTGTCTTGTTAAGACAACTCCTAAAAAAGAATACCCTGTGGACATGGAATGAGGCTATAGAAAAAGAATTCATTGAGCTGAAAAATTTGGTATCAAATCCTCCAGTTCTTGGCCTCTTTGACCCCCATCGGAAGGTAACACTTTCAGTGGACGCTAGTCAACATGGGCTTGGGGCTGTCTTGATGCAAGAGGGAAGACCCATCGCTTTTGCATCCGCATCCTTGAATAACACTCAGAAAAAATATGCCCAGATTGAAAAGGAGCTCTTAGCTCTCTGGTATGGATGCCAAAGATTTAACTATCATTTGTATGGAAGAAAGTTCACAGCCCAGACGGATCATAAACCCTTGTTGGCTATACTAAAAAAGCCACTAGAGGAATTATCTCCAAGACTTGAAAGACTGGTCTTGAAATTGATGCGATATGATTTTAATTTAGAATATGTACCAGGAAAAGTGATTCACACCGCAGACACTCTATCTAGAGATTCAATTTCAGAGGAAACCATCGACACCTCAGATCTGGATCTCCAGAACACCATTATGACTCTAAATCTGAAGGTGACCACTAAAAGATACCAGGAAATTCTCAGAGATATGGAGTCAGATGAAGAAATGATAAAATTAAGGGATCATATACTGAATGGGTGGCCTATTCATAAGAAAAGTGTGGACTATGCTGTTAAGCCCTACTGGCATTGTAAAGAAGAACTATATATATGGAAAGACCTGATTTGTAGAGGACAAAGACTTGTCATCCCTAAAGTCCAAAGGGAAAGCATCTTGCAAACACTACACATGTCTCATCAAGGGATCTCTGCTTGTAAAAACAGAGCACATGAAGCTATTTATTGGCCTGGACTGGATAGAGAAATAGAAGAGATGGTTTATAAGTGTAGAATTTGTCAAGAATCACAACCTTCGCAAAGGAAAGAACCACTTATACCTCACGAAATAGCAGACTACCCTTGGCAAAAAGTAGCTATTGATTTCTTCTATCTAGACCAATCTGTATTCATAATAATAGTAGACTACTACAGCAGCTTTCCTGAAGTCATCAAGGTAGCATCAACTTCAGCAAAAGAGATTCTACCAGTTTTGAAATCTACCTTCGCAAGACATGGGATTCCAGAGATCATCATCACTGATAATGGACCACCATTTACATCACAAGACTTTACTAATTTTACAAATGAATGGGACATAGAACATAAAACCTCTAGCCCAGGATACCCAAAATCAAACGGATTAGTGGAGAGGATGGTGCAAACAGTAAAGCAGCAACTTAAGAAATGCCGTCAAGACAACACTGATCCTTATATGTGTTTAATAGCCCTGAGAACAACTCCGTCAAATAATCTACCGTCCCCAGCTCAGATGCTAATGGGAAGAAACTTGAGAACCTTGATCCCAATGAAAACCACAAAGCTAAAACCTGCTTTCATTAGCACGGAAAACATTCTACAGCAGAAGAGGGAAAATCAATATAAGATGAAAAAATATTATGACCGAAATGCCAAAATACTTCCTAAAATGAGTTCTGGTGAACAGGTAAATGCCAAAACTAGCAATGCCTGGAGACCAGCTACCATCATTGGAGAAGCCAACCAGCCTCGATCATACATCATTCAGAACAACGAGGGCCGATTGTTAAAACGGAACAGAGTTCACCTACGGCCCAGAAGTTATCCTGTTGGACAGAGAAGGAGCAGCCAGTCATCGCCCCAATTGGATCCAGCCCCCTCGACATCATCGGAGTCCAGTGGTCAAAGGGAACCAGGAGAATTTCCCCGCCTGAACCTCAGTCCTGAAGAGTTGGCCCTATCCACTTCAACAACTCCCATAGGAAACTACAATGAAGGAGGCACTGCCTACACCACTAGAAGTGGACGTGTGGTAAAGCCTCCAAAGAGATTCGACCCCGGACTTTAATTAAAAGGGGAACATGTTGTATATAGTTATAATCTGTGCTACTAAAAGATCTGGCAACACAGTATGTATGTAAACAACGCCGCATAATAAATATATAATTGTTCTAGCACGGCGGTATATTAATTGTCTATATACATAAAGGCTGTAACTATATTAAATATATATAAAGCTAAAGGTAAATGAACCCGTATAAAAGATACAACAGAATTGCTCACTTGAATGGTAAACTGAGGATGCCATGCTCTCATGGGATGCCAAAACTTTAAGTCGATATTCACCAAAATGAAGAAATCTTGGTGACATTCATCTCTAATGTAATACTTTCACCCAGCGAAGAGGATGGTGTTTCTTGTAATGATCGGGTATTGATGACATAGGCATGATGGAGTACACGCCACTTATAGCGGTCAACTTGACCTCATTTTTTTTTAGAGGATAGCTTTGAAGTGCCCCTTCTCCAGTTTCGGGTCATCACCAATAAATATCTGACCGTATTTTAAAAGATATATGGTTTCCAGGGAGAATTCTTCTTCTTCTTTCTTAAGTTCATACTCCATGTTAGGAGAAGCTGCAAATGGCATCTGTTCCTCATTTCAGAGGCGGCCATTTCTTTTGGAGCTAAGTCGGCCTGCCACTGAGTAGTGCTCTCAGTCTTAATGACAAAGGCATTCTACTTCACCCAGTCATGATGGTTGTCAAACAGACACTATCAAGGGTCACAACTTGATACCCTAATATGATTGAGTGGAGATAAGAAAGAAGAAGAAGAATCAAGGGATAGGTTTATTTTTACATTTCTTTTATTTCTCAAGTTTTCAAACCTAGAAGCAATACTTCAGTAAGTTAGTCTTCTCCTTCTTCTTTCTTATCTCCACTCAATCATATTAAGTATCAAGCTTATAAAGCTTGAGACTTTTGATGGTGTCTGCTGGGGATGTGTAGAGCTCATCAATGGATGAGTCAATAAAGTCAATAATGTGTTTTGGGGATGCAGGTTGAGAACTAGGGAGAAGTTTCTTTTTTAAATTTTAATTCACCAATCTCTAACTTTCAGACAGGAAAACCTTACTACAGTGAGATTTGTGGATTCAAATTTTAAATAAAGGAATCTCGCCCTTGAATCCTGATAGTTTCTTACTTTATTATTGATGTAAAGAATTATGATAATACAGTTAAACCTGTCCATAGTGTTTGGGACTAAATATATATATATCCTATTAATCTGTGAATAAATATATATCATCATTATAAACAACAAGAATAAGATGTAGAATGTAAACAACGTGGTGATGTAAAAAGATCAGTATAAAGTTTAATAAACAATTTATACAAATCACATTCTTAATTATAAAAATATAAACACCAAACATATAGCGCCCCCTCTAAATAGCGCCTCCCTCTCTATAGCGCCCGATTTTATAAACGTTGTACGATGCGATTTACATTAAAAGTGACCTGTCTATAGCACCCCCTCTCTATAGCACCCTATTTTGGTGAGTCCCAAGAGGGAGCGATATAGACAGGTTTAACTGTATGTAGTACGATGCGATTTACATTAAAAGTGACCTGTCTATAGCACCCCCTCTCTATAGCACCCTATTTTGGTGAGTCCCAAGAGGGAGCGCTATAGACAGGTTTAACTGTACGTAGTACGATGCGATTTACATTAAAAGTGACCTGTCTATAGCACCCCCTCTCTATAGCACCCTATTTTGGTGAGTCCCAAAAGGGGGCGCTATAGATAGGTTTAACTGTATGTAGTACGATGCGATTTACATTAAAAGTGACCTGTCTATAGCACCCCCTCTCTATAGCACCCTATTTTGGTGAGTCCCAAGAGGGAGCGCTATAGACAGGTTTAACTGTACGTAGTACGATGCGATTTACATTAAAAGTGACCTGTCTATAGCACCCCCTCTCTATAGCACCCTATTTTGGTGAGTCCCAAGAGGCAGCGCTATAGACAGGTTTAACTGTACGTAGTACGATGCGATTTACATTAAAAGTGACCTGTCTATAGCACCCCCTCTCTATAGCACCCTATTTTGGTGAGTCCCAAGAGGGGGCGCTATAGACAGGTTTAACTGTATGTAGTACGATGTGATTTACATTAAAAGTGACCTGTCTATAGCACCCCCTCTCTATAGCACCCTATTTTGGTGAGTCCCAAGAAGGAGCGCTATAGACAGGTTTAACTGTATGTAGTACGATGCGATTTACATTAAAAGTGACCTGTCTATAGCACCCCCTCTCTATAGCACCCTATTTTGATGAGTCCCAAGAGGGAGCGCTATAGACAGGTTTAACTGTACGTAGTACGATGCGATTTACATTAAAAGTGACCTGTCTATAGTACCCCCTCTCTATAGCACCCTATTTTGGTGAGTGCCAAGAGGGAGCGCTATAGACAGGTTTAACTGTATGTAGTACGATGTGATTTACATTAAAAGTGACCTGTCTATAGCACCCCCTCTCTATTGTACCTTTTAGCATGTATATCGGGATTCAGACAATAACTCTGAAAGATATTACAGTGACATTTATTGAAGACACACTCATGGACAAAACTTAAGGAATTTGTACCTTTAAGCATGTATATCGGGATTCAGACAATAACTCTGGAAGATATTACAGTGACCTTTATTGAAGACACACTCATGGACAAAACTTAAGGAATTTGTACCTTTAAGCATGTATATCGGGATTCAGACAATAACTCTGAAAGATATTACAGTGAACTTTATTGGAGACACACTCATGGACAAAACTTAAGGAAGTTGTACCTTTTAGCATGTATATCGGGATTCAGACAATAACTCTGAAAGATATTACAGTGACCTTTATTGAAGTCACACACATGGACAAAACTTAAGTTGTACCTTTTAGCATGTATATCGGTATTCAGACAATAACTCCAAAAGATATTACAGTGAACTTTATTGAAGACACACACATGGACAAAACTTAAGGAAGTTGTACCTTTTAGCATGTATATCGGGATTCAAACAATAACTCTGAAATATATTACAGTGACCTTTATTGAAGACACACTCATGGACAGAACTTAAGGAAGTTGTACCTTTTAGCATGTATATCAGGATTCAGATAATAACTCTGAAAGATATTACAGTGACCTTTATTGAAGACACACTCATGGACAAAACTTAAGGAATTTGTACCTTTAAGCATGTATATCGGGATTCAGACAATAACTCTGAAAGATATTACAGCGAACTTTATTGAAGACACACTCATGGACAAAACTTAAGGAAGTTGTACCTTTTAGCATGTATATCGGGATTCAGACAATAACTCTGAAAGATATTACAGTGACCTTTATTGAAGACACACACATGGACAAAACTTAAGTTGTACCTTTTAGCATGTATATCGGGATTCAAACAATAACTCTGAAATATATTACAGTGACCTTTATTGAAGACACACTCATGGACAGAACTTAAGGAAGTTGTACCTTTTAGCATGTATATCAGGATTCAGATAATAACTCTGAAAGATATTACAGTGACTTTTATTGAAGACACATTCATGGGCAAAACTTAAGGAAGTTGTACCTTTAAGCATGTATATCGGGATTCAGACAATAACTCTGAAAGATATTACAGTGAACTTTATTGAAGACACACTCATGGACAAAACTTAAGGAAGTTGTACCTTTTAGCATGTATATCGGGATTCAGACAATAACTCTGAAAGATATTACAGTGACCTTTATTGAAGACACACTCATGGACAAAACTTAAGGAATTTGTACCTTTAAGCATGTATATCGGGATTCAGACAATAACTCTGAAAGATATTACAGCGAACTTTATTGAAGACACACTCATGGACAAAACTTAAGGAAGTTGTACCTTTTAGCATGTATATCGGGATTCAGACAATAACTCTGAAAGATATTACAGTGACCTTTATTGAAGACACACACATGGACAAAACTTAAGTTGTACCTTTTAGCATGTATATCGGGATTCAAACAATAACTCTGAAATATATTACAGTGACCTTTATTGAAGACACACTCATGGACAGAACTTAAGGAAGTTGTACCTTTTAGCATGTATATCAGGATTCAGATAATAACTCTGAAAGATATTACAGTGACTTTTATTGAAGACACATTCATGGGCAAAACTTAAGGAAGTTGTACCTTTAAGCATGTATATCGGGATTCAGATAATAACTCTGAAAGATATTACAGTGACTTTTAATGAAAACACACTCATGGGCAAAACTTAAGGAAGTTGCACCTTTTAGCATTCATATTGCGATTCAGACAATATCTCTGAAAGATATTACAGTGAACTTTATTGAAGACACACTCATGGACAAAACTTAAGGAAGTTGTACCTTTTAGCATGTATATTGGGATTCAAACTATATCTCTGAAAGATATTTGATACACATACAAATGCTTTAATTTTATTTATTTCCTGAGGAGTACAAAATATTTTTGTGAAAACGTCGAGGAAATCGAAACCTTTTCTTACGAAGTGGGTGTTTTATTATTAAGAAAATTCACAAATAAGTTTTCCCATCACCAACTTGAATACGAACATTTATTTCATTAAATTTATTGTTTAAAAATTGATCATAAGGAAGAAGGGTGAAAGAGGAGAGAAACATCTGGGACATCTCAGCGTTCGCGATGGCTAAGCCAGAAACTGCACATCTTCCATCTGGCTTTTACGATGGTTTCCTTGGGAGGATTGTCTTAAAGAAGGCAGTGTCCCACAAGGAGTGGCTGCCGTAAGGAGAGCGGCGGTTCAAAGAAGTCATTCTCCCCTGCCGTGAAACCCAAGACGGATCACATAAACAACCAAAGGGGGGCACCGCGAGGACAGCTGTCTTTTACCCCACCGATGTCTGCAATGGAAAGGTTTAGTTGGGCGACCGGGGAGTACCCTCGAATTCAGTTGAAAGCATAAGATATATCTGTATTCGCTCAAGATGACGTATTATTGAAAGAATATGTAGCTTAAAGCCAAGTTAACATGAAACCTAGTCATATTAGCCATTAATCTATAAAGAAAATTCATCAATTCGTAAATTAGGCGCTAGAGTTCTTGGCTTGTCTATTTCTCGCTTACCTACGCCCATGTACAAAACTAAAGAAAGTGTAAAGTCTTTAATATCACCAATCGTCTATTTTTTTTTAAGGAGACAGAGGTTGTTCACACTTGGTTATCACGTATCTTCAATAAAGGTCACTGTAATATCTTTAAGAGTTATTGTCTGAATCCTGATATACATGCTAAAAGGTACAACTTCCTTAAGTTTTGTCCATGAGTGTATCTTCAATAAAGGTCACTGTAATATATTTCAGAGTTATTGTCTGAATCCTGATATACATGCTAAAAGGTACAACTTCCTTAAGTTTTGTCCATGAGTGTATCTTCAATAAAGGTCACTGTAATATTTTTCAGAGTTATTGTCTGAATCCCGATATACATGCTAAAAGGTACAACTTCCTTAAGTTTTGTCCATGAGTATGTCTTCAATAAAGGTCACTGTAATATTTTTCAGAGTTATTGTCTTAATCCCGATATACATGCTAAAAG